GCTTCCTAAAGTAAACTCTTGGAGAGATGCTGAAGATACATCTGGCAGGAAAAACCACCAAGAAGAAGCAAATCTCCAACACCTCCACACCTCCACCTGCACATAGCATCCCTAGGCCACGTTAAATGGAGAAACCAGGAGGGCTCCCGTGCTGCAAGACACCAGCTCCTAACCTACTTGGGAGATGCAATCACCAGAGGTACTACTCAAAGACCATCACCAGGAATGGATACTGAAGGACTAACACCAAAACTATTAAGTAGTAGTACTACTGCTCAGATAACAACACCAGGACTGGATGCTGAAGGACTAACACCAAAACTATTAAGGCTAAAACTATTGCATTTGAAATTGGGAATTTTTCTTTATCCTATCTCTATCTCTCTAATGTTTGTGTAGCTCACTGTTGATTACTACACTATCTCTCCCTGTTTATTTCTTTGGCTCTGCTTTTGCTTTGTTTTGTTTGTTTTTTTCCCTTTTTCTTTACCTTCTTTGCTTTCCTTCTCCTCTCATGCTCCCATTCTAGATATCATCATTTTTACTATTACAAGCTACACAATATTGAATTACACATAGTACAGAGACAGTAACAGTAGAAAAGGGAATGATGGGAAGACAGAAAAAAGAGGGAAACCATTTCTTCCCCCGACAATAAATTAGTACAGGAACCAGAGGGAAATGAAGAAAACAGATGCCCAGATCCAGATTTCAACAAAATGAAGTTAAAGTATGCCAAAGAACCCATTGAAGCCCACAAGAACAACTGAAAGAAGAAATCCTGCAAGTAATCAATGAGAATTTTATAGAGATGATACTGGATATGGTCAACCAAATTGAATAGGAGACACTCAAGAAATACCAAGACAATAAAAATAGAGAATTTGAGAAAGCACAAGAACAAATAAAAGAAAACTATGGAAACACTGTAAAACACCAAAGTGAAACAAAGAACACAATAAATAAAGAGATAAATGAACTCAGGTCAAAAATAGACATATTAAAGAGGAAGAAACTCAGGATATGGAAAACCCCAGAAAAAAGAACAAAACAGAAATGCAAAAGAAAATGGAAGGCCAATCCAGCAGAGTAGAACAAGCAGAAGACAGAATCTCAGAACTCAAAAGTGAAATGGTAATTAAAGGAAAAAACAAAGAACTGTGAGTTCAACAACTCAAGATCTGTGAAAAGAAAATGCAAGAACTTACTGACCCTATCAAAAGACTAAACCTGAGAATCATGGACATTGAAGAAGGAGAAGAGGTGCAAGCAAAAGGAATGCATTATATAGTCAACAAAATAATAATAGAAAATTTCCCAAATGTAGAGAAAACTATGCCCATACAGGTACAGGAAGCCTCCAGAACACCAAACAGTCTTGACTAAAATAGAGCTACCCCACCACATATTATCATTAAAACAACAAGCACAGAGTATAGAGAAAGAATATTGAAGGCTGTAGGAGAGAAAAAACTGGTAACTTACAAAGGTAAACCCATCAAAATCACAGCAGATTTCTCAACAGAAACATTAAAAGCAAAAAAAGCATGGGGTGAGGTCTTCTGGGCACTGAATGAAAAAAACTTCAACCCTAGTATACCTACCCAGCAAAACTATCATTCAAAATAGATGGAGCAATAAAAGTCTTCCATGATAAGCAGAAATTAAAACAATATATGACCACAAAGCCAGCTCTACAAAAGATTCTTCAAGTGATTCCACACACATAAAGTGAAAGCCAACATAACAATGAAAGGACATGCAGTACCAAACCACAGAAGAAAAGGCAAGTGAGTAGAGAGTAACATTGATTTAGCTGCACACAATCTAACCCTTAAAATCCTGAGACAACTAAATGACATGAATCTCCACATACCTCTCAATACTAACACTCAATGTTAATGGACTTAATTCAATCATCAAAAGATACTGTTTGACAAACAAGAGTCAAAAGGAAGATTTAACAATTTGTTCCTTACAGGAGACCCATCTCATCTATAACAATAAACATAGGCTTAGGGTTAAAGGCTGGACAAAGTTTTACCAAGACAATGGTCCCCCAAAACCGGCAGAAGTAGCAATACTTATCTCAGAAAAAGTAGACTTCAAACCTTCAATGATAAAATGAGACAAAGAAGGACATTCCATATAATAAAAGGGGAAATACATCAAAAGGAAGTAACAATTATCAACCTATATGCACCCAACGTCAATACACCCAATTTAATCAAACATACCCTGAAGGACATAAAAACATATATAAACACCAACACAGTGGTTATGGGAGACTTAATATCCCCCCATTAACCAATAGAGAGGTCATCAAAACAAAAAATCAATAAAGAAATCCTAGAACTAAAACATACCATATAGCAAATTGACCTAGTTGATGTCTTCAGAAAATTTCATCCAACTTCAACACAATATACATTTTTCTCAGCAGCCCATGGAACCTTTTCCAAAATTGATCATATCCTAAGGCACAAAGCAAGCCTCAGCAAATATAAGAAAATAGAAATAATACCATCCACTCTATCTCATCATAATGCATTAAAACTAGAAATCAACAACAAAAATAATAACAAAAAAATGCAAGCAGCTGGAAACTGAACAACACACTGTTCATTGACCAGTGGGTCATGGATGAAATAAAAGAGGAAATTAAAAGGTTCCTGGAAGTTAATGAAAATGAAAACACAACCTAGCGGAACCTATGGGACAAAGCAAAGGCAGAGATAAGAGGCGAGTTTATAGCCATGAGTGCATATATTAAAATATATGCACAGAACGATATCAAATCAATGAACTAACATTACATCTCAAACTCCTAGAAAAACAAGAACAAGCAAATCCCAAAACAAACAGAAGGAAAGAAATAGTCAAAATAAAAGCTGATATCAATGAAATAGGAAAAAAATGCAAAGAATTAATGAAACAAAATGTTGGTTCTTAGAAAAAATAAACAAGATTGATACACCCCTGGCAAGCCTGACTAAAATGAGGAGTGAAAAAACTCAAATCAATAAAGTGAGGAATGCAAAAGTTTGGTTTACGAGCATGATGATTGGGTGTTCACACCTCTGCGTGACATGTACTGCCCTCAAATCTTGTTATGACGTGGGCACATTACCCTTCTGACGTGAAAAAAAATGGGTGATGACAAGGTAACTCCTTGCGACATTACTTGTGTACTGAGTAAGCAAGTTTATGATCTCTTCTGTGTCCAGAAGCATGATCTCAAAGGACACAGAGGAGGTTGTCAGAAGGTGGGGATCAAAGACACTTGGACACAGCAGACAAGGACATGGGACCACAGCAAATAAAGGTCAATAGACAGCCCAACATGAAAGTTTTAGTTATGGGAGCATTTGGAAGATTCAACAACTAAAGAAGTCAACTTAGATCAGTAGAAATTCCTCCAACAGCAAACCTTGCCAAATTCAGAATTCAACATGAGGAAAATAGAATGTACACTGCCTTCCAAAGCAGTCATGATTCACCCATAAAAGTATAGTGGGGAGATGAGAAAAAATGTACTGAACAGGAGAATTATCTGCCAATCCATTGTTTCAGGGATATTTTAGATCCAATATCCAGAAACACTTGCACCTGGTTTGTATGGGCAGATGCCCCAGAGCTAATAAAAGAAAGAACCAGCAGCAGAAGAAGTCTCTTCTTGCATTCTCATTATTTCAGTTCATGAATTACCCTTCCTAAGTGGAAGGGGACAAGTGGGCAGGGACAGGGGAGTCAAGAGAGGGCCATGGGGGATTTGTGAATAGGATCAAAGTAAATCATATGCATTTGTGAAAATAACATTTAAAACACATTAATAATTGTATAATAAAATAGCCCTTTTTGATTTTATTTTTCATTATTCCTTTCTTATATTCATTGCTTTTCAAACTTTTTCCAGCACTTAATTTGAAAATATATGCTACTAAATGTTGCTTTGTGTATAAATATCTTTGAATGCTTTAAAATTGTAAAAAGATAATCTGCAATGAATTCCTTGCACTTGATGAGTTCATTCAACGTATGTGGTTTAAATTTTATTAAACTGATTGCAGAATGCAACAGATATGCATAAAATTATTTAAGCTCTAACAATTTATCAAGTTTTATGCTGAATTTATTTTGCAACTTTAAGTTTTTCTATTTTGTTTTTTATTAAATATACATTACTAAGTGATACAGATTGTTGTAAATTTGTATAAAAGCTAAGACTTTATTTAGAACCAGTCACAGCACTTCTTACATGAAATTCAGTTTGGGACCATCTGAACATCCCCTCAGAGCTCTTTCACAGGACCTACCTCAGGTTTTTGCCCCATGAATTCTGATGCTGGCCTCTGCTGTCCAGATGCAGTGTGAAGGGCACAGGCCTGCATGGAGTCCAGTGGTGCTGTCTCTGCAGGGGAGGAGAGCCAGAACAGTGTGTACAAGGAAAGCCCAATCTATTTTCAAAGAATGACCAGAAAGCATCATGGACAGACCCTCTGAGAAATGAGGCACTGCAGCCCATAGCATTGAAGACTATCCTGCAAGAGCTGCAGAAGCCCAACTCACATGCAGGAGGGATCTTTTCTCTAATTCTCTCTTTTGATGCAAAATGAAATAAAATAGGGTTTCAAAATCATTAGCACAACACAGTTATGGTATGAGCAAACATTTTCTTCAGTCTGGTCACTGTCACCAATATACTTCTGGACTCTCACAACAGAACTGGGGCCTTCCCTGTATGAGACTTCCACACAGAACATTTTATATAGCATGAAGACATAAATAGCTCATCCCTTTGCTCATGAAAACCAGCTCAGCCCTCACTCTGAAGCTCTGGTTGAGGGTGCAGCCCAGGATTCCCAGGTGACCCTATTTAGTTCTCAGCACTGAACATACACCTCTCCTCATCGAGTGTACACAGCTCAGCTGCATTTTCCTTGTTGCTATTTTAAAAGGTGATTTATGGTGAACAAGAGATACTAAGTGTATGAGTGGACATGAATGAGAGCAACAGTGGATATGTGTGGCAGTTTATGACAAGGATTCTCTGTGTTTGCAGGTGTCCAGTGACAGGTACAGATGGTAAAGTCTGGGGACGCTTGGTGCAGTCTGAGGGCATCCTGAAACTCTTCTATGCAGCCTCTGGATTCGCCTTCAATAATTACAGAAATTACTGGGTCCTCCAGGCTCCTGGGAATGGGCTCAAGTGGGTTGGACTAACAGGCACTGTTGGTGGTAACACATACTATGCAGAGTCTGTCAAGGACAGATTCATCATCTCCAGAGACAATCCCAAAAACCAGCTCTATTTGCAAATGAATAGCCTGAGAGATGTGTACACAGCCCTTTATTACTGTGCAGGAGACCTAGTGAAGGGAGTTCAGTTTGAGCACCAACATAAACCTCCCTGCAGTGGTGCTGAGAACCAGCAGATGGTGTGAAGCACACATGGAACTCAGGCTCACCTCAGGCCAGTGTGAGTTGGTTGACTCTCCATTTAAGTTTTCCACAGGAAACTTTCTAGGTTTTTCGTCTGTACTAATTTGTGATGACTCGGAATAGAAAGAGTTCTATTTTATTGTGATTTTCAAATACTTAAGATATATTCTCAAATAACTAAAATGCAAAATATCACATCACTTGTGTGTACCTAGCTGCTTGTTTCCAAATACTCAGACCCTTTGTGCTCATGAGCAGTGACATCCATGTAATTTAGATCTTTGATTTCTGTACTAGATGTAAATATTTTTTCTAATATGATTAAATAGCTGTATATCTTCTGATTTCTGTTAATTCAATCATTGATATAAATTTTTATTTTGCAAAGATATCTAAGTGATCATTTGAAGCTAGGCATTCTGTTATGAATTTGGGTCAGGGTAGTGAATCATAAGGTAAAGGGAGTTGTTCAATGTCTGAATTTTCACCTTGCTTATTGGAAGTACTGGGTTTTATTCCCAAAACTTCAATAAAATATATGATGCTGCATGTAATTTTAATGTGTCTAGTGTGGCTCAATGAACTTTCCTTTAAGTTTGTTATCAAAAAGAATGATAAATAAGAACAAATATAATTCTTGTCTCTTTAGCGCTAACAGAGAAACAAGAAAAGGAATATTTTCACACAATTATATAGGACTTACATAAACTTTGGTTCATTACCTAATGAGTATTATTAATAACATATTGAGTAACTGTAATGAAAAGAAAATTGATCTACCATATGATTCAGCAATATCACTCTTGGGGATATACCCAAAAGATTGTGACATAGGTTACTCCAGAGGCACGTGCACACCCATGTTTATTGCAGCACTATTCACAATAGCCAAGTTATGGAAACAGCCAAGATGCCCCCCTACTGATGAATGGATTAAGAAAATGTGGTATTTATACACAATGGAATTTTATGCAGCCATGAAGAAGAGTGAAATGTTATCATTCGCTGGTAAATGGATGGAATTGGAGAACATAATTCTGAGTGAGGTTAGCCTGGCCCAAAAGACCAAAAATCACATGTTCTCCCTCATGTTTGGACATTAGATCAAGGGCAAATCCAACAAAGGGATTGGACTTTGATCACATGATAAAGCAGAGAGCACACAAGGGAGGTCTGAGGATAGGTAAGACACCTAAAAACCTAGATAGCATTTGTTGCTCTCAATGCAGAGAAACTAAAGAAGATACTTTAAAGCAACTGAGGCCAATAAGGGAAGGGGATCAGAAATTAGAGAAAAGGTTAGATCAAGAAGAATTATCCTAGAAGGAAACATACATGCACAGGAAATCAATGTGAGTCAACTCCCAGTATAGCTATTCTTATCTCAATGTGTAAAAACCTTTGGTCCTTCCTATTATTGCTTATACTCTTTCTTCAACAAAATTAGAGATAAGGGCAAAATAGTTTCTGCCAGGTAATTAGGGGATGGGGGAAAGAAGGAGGGGTGGGGGGTTAGAGAGGGGGTGGAAGAAGGGGGGAGAAATAACCCAAATATTGTATGCACATATGAATAAAAAAATAGAAAATCAGGTGACAAAGCCATAGCAAATGGGAACTAATTCAGCAGGGAGTTAAACATAATTCTCACAGGCCAACCAAATATGTGAGGGAGAATCATATGGGGTGCACTTCACTTGGAATTCCATGATGGAGTGTATGATGTTTAATTTTTACACTGTCCTGCCCCCAAAAATCTGGAATTGTTCTTGCTTGGTTATGGTGCACACTGTTTTTAGAAAGTATTTGGTTTGATAGTATTTGAATGAGGATTTTTGTATCTCCATTCATAAAGAAATTGGCATATAATTTCCTCACTCATAATGTCATGGTAAGACTTCGTGTATTGAAATAAAAAAATTCCTGAATCAGCATAAGATAACCAGCTGCCAAAAGAAAAACAGTCCATGTAGTTTTCATACTTTTGCAGAGGAAAGAAGTACACATATCCGGAATTGTAAAATATGAAATTTAACAAGGACTTAAGGACAGAAATCAGCCATAGGGAGCAGCAAGGCAGAAAAATTCCTCTGCTACAAGGCAGGAGGGAGGGATTTCTAGGCTAAGTTAGACAAATGTGGGCTATGGCCAGCTGGAAATGTACCTGGCCTCTCCCCAAAACTATTACAGTGCTCAATGTCAGGTAACCTTCTGGTTGTCACTGGTTGGCACAACATGCTTACCTGTCGATCATAAATCCTTCTTTGGCTGCAGGATTTAGGTATTTGCCAACATCATCCATTTGGTAACATAGATGCTCTTGTCAATAGATATGACACATTGAAACCTGCCAAAGTCATTTTAAGAAGGGGATGGGTGAAAAGGGAGAGTAATGGAAGGGACGAACCAAATCTTGTTACATTGTACATAACATGGAAATATCACAATAAATTCTCCAGTACAACTGTTACATATGACTAAAAACATTTTTAAAAGGATAGTCATAATCTTATCAAGTTGGGTCCATCCATTAGAGTATTCAGTTAATCCTGGTTGCATGAAATATTTAGAAGGTGATTCCTCATTTTCAGTTTTTGAGATTTTGAGATAATTTTGAGATGAATTTGTATCAGTCTTTCTCTAACTATTTGATTTAATTCACTAGTGCAAACATCTGATCCTTGGTTATCTTTGTGGGGAGGCTTTTGACTAGAGGTGCATTCTCTGTTCATATTATAGATATTCACATTGTTCTAGAAACTTTAACATTTCATCTGAGTTATCTAATTTGATTGCATATGATTGTTTGAATCTTTTTCTATTTGTGTATGGTAGCAATAATCTCCCCAATCCTATTTCTGGTTTTAGTGACTTAGGTCTCCATTTTTTCAGTCTACTATAGCCTTGTCAATTTTCTAGATCTTTTCACACAATCAACTTCTGGTCTCTTTCGTTGCATTCTGTTGATTTTTCTTCCATGTTGCATTTACATTTATTGTTTCCTTCTTTGTGTTACCTTTCTGTTCAGCTTGATCTTCTTTTTCTTCTTAATTTTTTTAAGATGTGATGGTAGGTGATTAAGTTGAGATCTTTCCTTTTTATCACAGCCATATTTAAGTATATATTTTCCTCTGTGCCTAGCCTCCATGATATCCCACAAGCTGCCTATGCTGTTTCCTTTTTCACTTCTTACAGCAAACATTATTATCTTATGGAGACCTGACTTATTAGCTTTTAATTTGAAACATTCTTGTAGAAATCAGACTATATGGAAAAGAGTGGCATTACCTAATCACATTTTCTGCCATGCCATTGGCTGTCACATTTGGCAAGTATGTAAGGGGACATTGGGCAAGTTAGATGAATGTTTGAGACTCCAGAAATTCCAGTCTTTCGCAGTAATATGATCACCATTCAATCTGTAACTCCAGTGACAATGTCTACACAGGGAATTGACATAAAACATGAATAATACTGAAAATTTTATAAAGTGCAGAAAGTTGTTAATAATCGGGCATTTATCATAAATTAGAAATTGATATGGCAAAACAGGAACATATATATTTAAACGTTAAGATGTTCAGCAATTGAGCAGAAGATATATAAATTTGAATGTGAGAATGAAGCTAAGATCATGCTGTGCTGGAAACTTGGCCACCTGAGTGTTTCCTGATCAGAATCTGGTTACACTTTATTATGTGATACACTAAGCACTGTCCACTTGAAAAGGGTTACAAGAACTAAAAGTCTGCAAAGAATCTGTGCTGTAGTTCTCAGCCAGAGCCGTAACAGGCACTCACTGAGCACATAGTGAGTACCAAATGCTTCACATTTGCATGGAGCACATAAACAAAGAAGAGAGAAGAGGACCTCTGCCTTCACAAAACTTTCAGTCAAAGAAAAAAGGGTAGGAAGTATGAAAGAGGGAGTATTAACTCTTATTGTAACTATGGTTACATCATGGAAAGAAAGTGTCTAAGAACAAGGAGCGGGATAATCAGGTAGAAGAATTTATAGGAAGTCATATTTCAAGGAGAAGGCATTAATTTATAATGTCATTATTCACAAAAAAGTTTTCAAGGACACATGGCTCAGTTTTTAGGCATAAGTGGTGGGATTATCGTTTGGCACTAATGGAAGAATTTATGGAAACTGGAGAAGAAACATTGTTTCTGTTTTCACTTAAGGAAGCTCCTTACATTTAGGTAAATGGTCTTGTGTGAGGACGGAGTAATGGCTTTACCTTAAGATTTCTATATTTTCTGTATTACATATGGTAAATGGCTAAAAGGAGTGAGTATGTGAAGAGCTATAAGGATAATGGATAAACATTAAAAATACTGCTTTGAAGCATGTCTATAAGCCTTGCTTATTTTAACACAGGTGACAGTAGCACAGTACTGGGTATGGTCACAACTGACAGAGCAAATTTACACCACCTGTATGTAAATTTGTTGAAGCAACATCCTCATTGCATTTCATCACCAAGATCATTATCAGCTTTGCAGATTCCAGATTCTCACATGTAGTCTTTCTCCTACAGCAGAATAAAATAGAGACACGTGGGAATGTACGTGCAAATATGTCTGGTTGTCTGTCTGTTTGCATGTGTGTTTGTGAATGAGAGAGAGAGAAAGAGAGAGAGATTGATTAGACAATTTAACCTTGGGTCTGAAAGCCTTCTGCTGGCAAAATTCCCTATTCTTAAGAGCATTCATGATTTTCCTTAAGAAGTTTCATGTGTTGGGTGAAGGCCAGGTGTATTTTGGAGGGGCTTTACACAAAGTCACTCATTTAAGGGTTAAGGTCATCTGAAAAATTTATTTTCCTAGTCATATACAAATATGACCCAGGTACATATGGTTTCTGTGACATAGTCACAGTGCCATGTAAGATAAATCATCATACTAGGTAAGTTTGTTCTTCAAGCATTTATTTTTCCATGTCCACATTTTCAATCAATGGTGCAAAAATCTTTATTTAGCAGTCACATCAAAATTCATAT